GTCATATTTGGATGCTACTATCAGCTTTAGAAAACATCAGCATTGTCCTTACATTACTGGACTGTAATCATATATAAAAGTTTATTATTGTCTTTTGCAAAGTCAGACTCTTCTTACATGACTTTATATTTTGATACTGAAATCTTCACTTTTAAAATGTATATATTTAGCTGGTGAGATGAAGCAAAATGACAAGATCACCTGTATATTAGACAAACGACAGAGGAAAGACATCAGAAACCTAAATAAAGCTCTTGCAGAGTTTCAACAAAATTTTCAGAAGCCAGAAACTCGGCGTGAATTTGACTTATCTGATCCACAAGGCCTAAAGAAAGATACTCCTGCTCGCCTTTCTGACAGTGACCCTCGATGTACTGTGTCTGGCTTGCAGATGTTTCTAGGAGAAGATTTAAACCAAGCTCAGCGGTCAGATTTTCAAAAGGAGCAGTCAAGAGAGTGGCTTCTGCAGCAACAGAGAGATTGGGAAAATGCATTAGCAGATAAAAAATTTGCAGGTAACAAATGTGAAAAATTGGATATTTTTGGGGGAGTGGTTGGGGTTTTTTTTGTGTTTTGTTCCCTTCTCTCACCAAATTCTAAAGGTGGTAACTGACAAAATTATAGAAGAGTCCTTTATATCAGTCTGTGGTACAGAAATACCTCAATGTATTTCACAAAATGAGTGGGGGTTTTAACTTGTCATAGGCAGTAACATTTAGAGATTGATAGAAAGTAATTTTGATTTAATGTGTCAATTAAAAAACTACTTGAATTTAGGATGATCTTGATTTCTGAACTTGTCTTCAAGTGATGGATTAACTAGTTTTGAAGAAGTTGGTATACTATAAAGGTTTGAGAATTGATATAGCGAAGTCAAGCTAACTTGACCAGTGTTTGAACAGAAAAACTGTAGTCTGATTTATTCATTAACTTCTGACCTGAAACAAACATATTTTCTTTGCAGTTTAAATATTAATATTACAAATGTTTTTATTTTCTTATAACTCATTACAAATTTGAAGATGACAAATCGGATAAGGAGTTGGAAACTGATGCTTTAATTAACTTTCAGTCTGAGATATTCACTCCACATTAATAGACTATTTAAATTAGTATTTACATACGGCATATCATGTTCATGCATATCTTATACTTAAATCAAATTCAGAGGATCTCTATGACAAGAACAGGGTTGAACTTGATCAAAAGGCCATGGAACTGCAGAAAATAAATGAAGAAACCAGACGAGCTGTTTGTGCAGCTACAAAGGATTTTAACCGAATCCAGGTGAATTGATTTTGTTTATAAAGTGGAGGGAAAATAAGACCAACAATAATTTTGAGGAGTATTATGATGAATCCATTATGGCAGAAGGGCTTGTCAGCAGTCAAATTCCAAATTTATTTGAACAATCAGAATATATAGATTTATTTATTTACTTATTTTTCTTTAAAGATAGTCTCCTGGATTTTTAGCTTGCCCTGCACAGGACAGTCAGAACACTCCAAGCTCTGTTACATATTCGGTTTCTAAAGGCAGACTACGAGTGGGGGCTGCAGCCACGAATTCACTGTATCCCCTTCCCAGCACAGCCCTGCCCCACCAGGAAGAGCTTGGTGCAGCCCCAGCCCACCCTGTACAGATCTGGGGGCACATGTCCCCCCACATGCCCTCCTGGACAAGTGGTGGGAGCCAGCAGACCAAAGGCTCCCGGACAAGTGGAGCGTGGCAGCAGAAGCTGCTCCCCCACCTCCCTGCATCTTCCGGACAAGCTGCTGTTCCATCCTGCACCGGCTCTGCCACAGCTGGGCAGCCCCAGCCACAAGCCTCCCTCCCTGCAGCAGCCTTGATCTGCCTGCCCGTGCCCCTTCCCTTTCTTCCCCCCCTCCCACCCCCTGACTTAACAGCTGGAGGTAGCTCTTCACACTGCCAGGCTGGTATCGGAAATCAGATCGGTATTGGCCAACATGCCTCCTTAAAAATCAGCTATCAGTATTGGCTGCAAAAATCTCTATTGGTGCACTCCTAGTTCTGGGCCCTGGCATATTCAGTGCACACGTACCACCCTGATGGGAACTGCTGACTAAAAGCTTCCAGTTTTAAATCATTGGCTGACTATACACATGCTCAGGGAGGGAAGGGGGTGTGTGTTTTAATTAAGAGTGGTTCCCAGAGAGCCTTTCTAATTAAAGTGCCTTATCTTAACGTCTGTTAACCCTCATGCATTTGAAAATGGCCGCAGAATGCTTCATGCAACAAGGTTTAGCCAAAGTGCTGTCACAGCCCTTTAAAAATGTACAGGGCTCAATAAACATGACAATGAGGTGATGCTAGAGGATTTTAATTAGAATGTGGAGTCTGCTCCAGTGCATTCTAATTAAAACATGAACAAGCATGTGTACAGGTAGCCAATTGTGTGCATTCATGGTCCTAATGTGAAATAGATGTGTGCAGTTGTTTTACATGTAAATAAGTATTTCTTCCAGTATTTCTTGAGAAATAGAGCCAAATTGCTCTAGGCCCTTTGAAGCATTCCTTCAGCCCTGTGCTTGAGAGCACTTGGCTTTCTCAGCGGATTCAAAATGCTTTTTTAAATGAGGCAGTGCCTTCAGCATGGGAAGTTCTGGCCTCAAAGCTGTTACTCCCCACATCTCTTATTATATTGTATGTAGTAACTTATACAGCTGTAACAGGATGAAGCAACATAAACAAAGTGTCACAAAGCAGGCTAAAATATACAGGAAATAATGTATCCTTCAGCCAGTTTTGTTTCCTAAGCTATACTGATATATCATTTTTATTGGGCACTTGACTTTTGATGGAGAGTGCAACAGACTTTAGTCTGAGAACAAGATATTTCTTTTATAAGCCCATAAATTGCTGTTAATGGATACATACATACATACATACATACATACATGGAGTTGCACATAGTTGGAGTTTTCTTTCAGTGAGGTTCCCTTGGAGGTTCAGAAAACTTTAGGACTTCCCCTGTTGCTAAGGATATTTGAATGTTAAAAATGTGAGACATGCTTAGGAGATTTAATTGTTGTTCTTGGAGCAAATACCAGATCTCAGCAAGATTAGCTTTTTGAAAAACATGGTTTCTTTAACCTTGTATAATTCTTTCTAACAATAACTGTCCATCCAAAGTGTCCATTCTCTAAATCATGGTGTATTTTTATGGCAGCTCCTAAATTAAAAATACTTGGGGCCAGATGCTAAGAGTACCTAGGTGTCTAAAACAGAGCTTAGGTTGAATTTATGTATTTAAATCCAAGTGAGTAATTCACAAAGGCTCCCCCTTTCTTCCACTCTCTCCCCTGCAACTTCTTATTTATTAGAGAAGTTGCAGAGACATAAGTTTGTGCCCTTAAAATTACATAGCGAACCAACATTCTTTTGCTGTGTGTACCCAGAACTGTCAACATCTTTGCTGTCCTGCACATTTAGGTGCTACTTCTTATGAATTCATAGATTTCATGTCTCTAAAACTGTGACCTCTGAGATGCCCAATCCAGTAGGCATGCTCAAAACATGCCTAACACACAGATTGCTGATTTTAGCAGAAACTAGCCATATTCACTTCCATGCAAAGCATAGCAGGAGGAGAATGTGGTAGTAGGAACCTTCCACCTAATTACCCTAGTTAGAGCACTCAGCCAGGAAATGGGAAATCTGGGTACAGTTCCCTCTTCCAGAGGGATTCAAATATACATCTCCCAGGAGAACATTCTAACCAACAGGCTAAAGTTAAGGCTGGGAGAAGGCCATTCTCTACTCGTTTGACTTAATTTTAGTTGGGGGTGGAAAACATAGGCCTGACAACATGCTGTCCTTACTGCTTTTATACATGGAACTAGCATGGACACTTTACATCATATCAGGCAAAAAGTCCACCATTTGCATCATCTTGAACAGTCTAACTTGGGGTTATAGACCCCAATACAGACCAAAGAGAATGGTCAGGAATGGGAGTGGATAATTCATAGGCCTGTCACTCCATTTAACTCAAGTTTACTTATCCGTGTCACAGCAGAAATCTTATCCTATTTTCTTTCCCACCTAAGAGTAAATCATTTAAAGTTAAAGATTGGGGTGGAGGCAGAACATGGCTGGTGGAGGAGGAAGGGAGAGTGCAGCCAGAGTGATGGGCAGAGTGAAAGCAGCAGCCAGGCAGGAGCCTGAGAACTGCAATTTAACCCCTGTGGGCTTCATGCAGTCTGTAAAGCCAGTTGGACAGCCCTGTTGTAAGCAATAGCCAACAGCCAAAAAAATTGAGGCTGGTATTTTGTTGTGTAGTTAAGTGAAGTGTTTGTTTATCCAATATAATGATGTAAATATTGTTTTAAAAAATTACCCATTTAACCTCTAGTTAATTTTATCAATTAAATCTTTAACCAATAATGCATATCTAGCCCTGGCCAGGAAGTGTGGAGCCCTAGGCCAGTGCCCTGTGGTGGGGGAGGGGCTGCAGCCACCACCCAGTGCAGTATGGGGAGCTGGGTGCCACACACACACCTGCTCAGACACAACTGCTTCTGGGAACCACTCCCTAGGGCCTTTGAGAGGCAGGGGAGGTGAGGAGGCAGTAAAAAGCCCTGCCAGCCAACACCATGGGCAGCACAACAGGCAAGGGGCTTTCCCAGCTCACTGCAGCCACCGGCACACTGGGAAGGATGAAGCAGACTAACTACGGGTACTAGTTCCCCTCACCCTTCCCATTCCCCTTACACACTTTGTCGCTTCTCCATCCCTCCCTCCTCCCCTTCTGCTTTCCACTTCTTGGTTGGGCACCAAGCAGCTTCCCTTTTCATCCCCTTCCCTGCCAGACTGCTCTCTACCCAGCACTAAATGATAACTAGTAAACTATAACCAGTTATCACTGGACTTATCAGTTAAACAATTAATTTACATCCCTAATCAAATATTCATATAAATAGAGTTTCTTGTATTAATTTGAGATTGTAAAGTTTTTGGTCTGGTTTCTGGTATGTGATAGCTGAGTAAATTGTTATGCTTGATGGATGTTTTGTCAAACTAAAATTGGAGCTGATGTATTTAAATACAAGTGGAAATAATTTTGATAATTCTGGCATATGTTTTCAAGCACGCAGGTATTTCCCCAAATGTCTTTGATTTATGCCATCACAGCATTCAAGGGATACGTTTATATTTTGTATAAGTCTGAGTCAAGAACATAATGCACTTGGTCACATGTAGGTTGGAAATAAGATTGTTTAACACCTATCCAGTGTATTAATTCCTTGATTCCTGTACTGAATTAGTGTTTGCTTTAAAATAAATGGTTTCAACTTTCACCTTTTTCCTCCTATTAGGCTGCAGATTTAGCAGAAAGAAAAAAAATAGAAAAGCATCAGGAAGAAGGTGATAATATGGCTGAAATTTCCAACCTCCTTCGAGGAGACTTGCTTTCTGAAAATCCAGAACAAGCAACCAGTTCCTTTGGGCCACACCGTGTGTTTACAGATCGATGGAAAGGAATGAACCAGGATCAGTTGATGGCAATACGTTACACTCAACAGCAGCAAGTTCTGGAGAAACTGGTATCCAAGCTTGCTTGTGTATCTGAATTGTTAAAAGGAATAGTATAAGCAGAGGCAGTAGCACACACTGTTGGGGTTGCTCAGGCCATTACGGTATAAAATGCTCTTTATGACATAACCAATGTTTCGTACGTTTTTGGCTGAAGCTTTTCATGTAGCGTGCCTGAATCTGGCTGAACATTATTGGAATTTTTTAGCCTGGATTAGGAGAAAAGTTGGTTATTTGGCAATGAAAAAAAAATCTATCAAACTTTACTTTTGAGAGAGTTTTTGTTCCCAGTTTTTTGGAGCAAGAGCATGGAATTTGGCAGGAATTTGCTTTTTGCTATTCCCATAAATGTCCACTCAGATTTGGCCAAGATATAAACCTTTGAAAAATCTCAGTCTCCACTTGCTCATTAGAGACTTGTTGGAGTTTTAACAGGAAGCATCTCTGAAGAATTCATTCTGATGTGCTTCACCTGCTCAGGGTCAGACTGATCATCACATTTGGGGATCAAGAAGGGTTTTACCCCATGGTCAGACTGAGATGGACTATGAGGGTTTTTGTCATCCTCTGTCATGGAGAGATGTGGTCCTCTTTCTTACATCTCGAGTATATTTTAACAAACTATGTCCAGTAGCAGGACATTGAAAGTGCCCTCCCCACCACCCCTGTCTCTCCCCAACACTGCACCTGTGGCAAGTTAAAGGGTCTTTTGGACATTTCAGGTATTATGTCTGGTAGTTGTATGCCAAAGCTGTTAATTAAGTTTTTAAGACCAGATTAGACAAACAGTTGTCTAGGATAGCTTGCCTGAGGAGGTCTAGTCCAGTCCCTGTTGAAGTCCCTTCTGCCCCTGCTTTTCTATGATTCTATAACTATTCGATGATTCTGTTGTCTTTCAGTTCCTATATATGACTGGACTGCACATATCCCATCCTCAGGGGCCAACTGAGCATATGTTAACTGAGGGGTGGCCAGCCTCTGGCATGGTTGCTACAAGTGGCATAGGCAGGCTGTGTGTGTGGCACTCAGCAGATCAGGGAGGGAGAAGGGAACACAACAGAAGACAGGGAAGGGAGCACAAGGCTGGGAGGCAAAAGCAAAGCAATGTGCCAGGCAGAAGAAGGGATCAGAATAGCACTTGGGGAGGATGCAGGGCTGGCACAAAGGGTTGGCTTCCACTGTTCTAGCCCATAATTACAGGGTTAAAATGGAACTTCCGTTTGTAGAGAAAGCTCCCAGCTCCTCCAGGTTTGCCTAGAGTCAGGCATCTCAAGTAATAACTTGTTTACCTGTACTCTGATTAAGTCCTATGCTGTTGTATAGGCAGCATGAAGACAGAAGTTACTGGATTCAAATGTAGAGGGGTCAAGAGATCAATAGTGAGGCTACAAAAGGAGTAGTTAGGAAAAAGAAACCCTATGACGTAGGGGTTGGAAAGGAAATCTGTAAACTAGGAACTGAGAAAGAAAGGTGAAAACAAGAGCCACATAAAGACCAAGATTCAAAGACTTTGGGGCTGAGAGTTGGGTTGGAAAGCTGAAACTGGGATTTGGTGAGGGAGATAATAGTGGGGGCTGAGGTCCGATGAGTAGCATGGAGGAAGGGAAACCAAGAATTTCTGGGCAAGAAAACTGGGACTAGAGTGGTATAAAATCTTTACTGCTATAATTTGTGGATGGTGTAATAAATAATGAGGAAGACTGGTGACTCTTAATAAATAATATGAATCACAATCCCAAAAATGCATAGTTCATATCTGGTTATTCCTACAATGCAGGAGTCTGTTTAAAAAAAAACAAACCCCAAAACAGTAACTCTGAGAAGGGCTTTTGCAGGCTGTGGGGGGAGAGGGAGATCATTGTAATTGAGTTGTTGGTGTTGTGCTGAAGCAATCAGGGCTTGTGGACAGAGGTGATATCTTTTATTAGACCAACAAGATTTTTGCAAAAAAAATTCTTTAGTTGCAGGCTTTCGGGAACAAATACTCTTCATCAGGCATCAGAGAAAAGATTGTAAAAGTTCTCCTGGGTAGAAACAAAAGTTCATATTTCATAGGATTTCACAGAGGAGTCAATAAATGGAAAAACCCTTTGGGCAGCAGTTCTTAGCTGGTAAGGAGTCTCAGCTCTTCTGTGAGGCTATGATGATACAAATACCTTAGGCAAAGGCAGGAGCAGATCTCAGGTTTCAGGTGGTCAAAGTTGTTTCCTGCTTGGGAAGATATGAAGATTTCAGTTAAAAAAAATCAGCTAAAATTTGATATGGTGCTGTGTTGAGATTTTTTCAGTACTATGGCCAATAAAGAGCTAATGCAGAGATTGGATTAGAAGGAACGTGGATGGCTGGGAGCTAATGGAAGAAAGAGGAAGGAATGATGTGGTAGAAGAGAGATCAGACAGTCAACTGGAAACAGTGAAATAAATCTGGTTCAGCCACAAGATGGAGATGAAAGGCCTAAAGCAAGCAGCCAAATGAGTGGTACAGAGCTGGTCTATAGAACCTGACCTCAGCAAGCACCATGGGAAGCACAGCCCAGGACCTGGCCTCAGCTAGCCCCATAAGTTTCACAGCCCAGGACCCAACCCTGCCAAGTCCTGCATGCTGCACATATCCTGGGCATTGTGTGCAGGGCTGGTCTGGTGCAGCATGTGGGTCAATAGGACAGTACCCAGGGATGAATTGTGGGCCTCCACAGGCCTTCAAGCCATATGTTTCACAACCCTGACCTAAAGTGACAAGAATGGAACAAAGAGCTGGGGCTGAGGAAGAGATGGAACGGGACAATTTGGAGGGGTGGGACAGAAGGGGAGGGGAAAAGTGTATTGTGACAATGCTACTTCCCAGAGCCTCAAATGGATTCGTGAGCTTCCCCGCCCTCTCCTGTGAGCACATACTTCTCAATAAATTTCACAGGCGTCTCTTCCCTCTCTACCACCAATCCCCTTAGAGGATGACAACATACTGTTACTAATATTTCCTGTTACTCGGGTTGCAAAGGTCTGTCAGGTGGAATTAAATTAAGATCCTCTGCTGATGATTTGTGTGTTGTTGCATGAGGACATTTTTATGTTTTTCAGTTTGCTTTTTCAAAAACCTGAGACTGCACAAAAATTGAAGGCTGCAAAGTAAAGCATTCAGAAATGCCAAAATTAATTGCCTTTATAACTTTAATTAAGTCCCTTGTCTGTATGTTATAATATTTAATTAATCTTTAATTAAATGATCACATAATATTCAGTGCATAGTTGCTGTTAACTTCAGTTGCAGCTGTGAGTGCTCAGCCCTTCCTAAATGATGTCCAGGTCTCAAAAAAGGCATGCAGGAAATGAGTAATGCATGATCAGTGATCACTTATGAAATGTTTACAAGTGACTTTTCTACAAGTTGCACAGGAACTCTGGCAGAAGCAAAGGTAGTACAGTAAAATTTCTATTTTCCAGCATCCCTGGAGTAAGAGGGTTGCCAGTTACGTAAAATCTCCAGTTATCTGAAATAACTGGCAGAGTTTTCAGGTAACATGGAGTTGAGAGCAGGGGGCAGGGAGGTTGGCGGCGGCTGCAAGCAGAGCAGCAGCAGCTCAGGGTGGTGGGTGGTGGCCACGTGCAAAACTCCAGTTAATGGAGTATTCCGGTTGGTTAAGTACCAGATAGCAGAGGTTTTACTGTATCTGGGTCTCCACGGCAATCCTGAAAAACAACAATATCTTTTCTTTTCTCTTCCTAAAATGACCTCTCTCTCATTCAGTGCTTTTGCAAAATACAAAACAGGGAGCCTACAGACAACTGTCTTTATTTCAACCTGAGCTTGGTACAACATCCCAGGAACCTCATGTCTCAGTTAAAGGCCAACAACTGTCAATGGTCAACAAGTTTGCCTATCTAGGCAGCACACTCTTCCGTGCTGTCCATGTCGGCAATGAAGTCAACGCGAGGCTAGGAAAAGCCAGTGTGGCCTTTAGCAGATTCTGTAAGTCAGTCTGGGAGGAGAGGCATTGGAATGTTGACAAAATTGAAGGTTTACAAAATCATCGTTCTTCCTACCCTCCTTTATGCCTGCAAAACCTGGACTGTCTACCAGCATCCTGCCAAGAAACTAAACCACTTCCAACTGTGCTGCCTGTGAAAGATGCTAAAGATCAAGTGTCAGGACAAGATTCCAGACACAGGTGCTCAGAAGATCAGTTCTTCCCGATATCCACACCCTGCTGAAATCAGCAGAGCTAAAACGGGCCAGCCACCTTTCAAGAATTCCCAACGCTCACCTGCTGAACAAAATCTACAGCGAAGTGTCAAATAGAGTATGCTTTTGTGGCACACCAAAGAAGTGGTACAAGGACACCCTAAAGATCTCCCAAAAGATTTTCAGCATTGACACAGAGTCGGAGCAAATCACTTGTGACCGTCCATCTTGGAGGTCATTGGTCCAGAGTGGAAGCACTGGCCTTTGAGCAGCGGCACACGGCAGAGGCAGTGAGAAATATGTGGCCAGGAAAACAAGGATTTCTCATCCAGTCCTTGTCGCTCGCCTGCCCCTGCTGCAGTAGTTTGTTCAGGGCAAAGACTGGGCAAAGTCACCTGTGTAGCCACACAACCTAGCTTCCACCCCACTCCTCTTTCTTCTTTCTCCTTTTTTTTTCTCCCTTTCTCTTTTCTCCTTCCTTTTTTCTTTCCCACTTCCTGTCTCTCTTCTCCCTCTCTCGCTGGATGTGGTCATTTTTGCTTGCAAATGACAAACAACACAGCCCTGTTACAAAGACATGCTGATAAGGTAGTACAACCCATCTGAATAAAACATATAGTAATGCCCATTGAGCACAGTCCCGCTCAGCACTAATGCTTTTTCAAGTTATGGTGAACCACTATGCTGCATACATTTCAGCTTCCTATTTATTCCTACAGCTGAGCTGCACCTTTCTTTCCCATTTTCAATGAGTCCTTTTCCTTCACCAGCCTTAAATTAAACTGGTTAAACATCACCAAATGGGGCCTCAAACAGTTCACCCAGAATCCCTCTGTCACCTCCTCTCTCAACCTATTGCATATGATTAGTGTGGCCCTGCACGCCATAGGGTGGAGGTGGACCAGGTTGCCCTGAGCCTCATATACATGAATTTTTCAGGATCCCAGGACTCATGACAAGAATACCCAGTTCCAGTCATGGAGGAGGGGGTGTAATTTGCATACAGATCTTTTTGGTTGGGGCTGTATCTAAGATACACATGTTGAGCTGTGGGGTCACCATAGCTTGAAATGCCTTTCACTCTGGTGGAACCCAGCCCAATGAGCTATATGGTAAATCATGAACTTTTTAGCTTTCGACTAATATAATGTATGGTTTGTACGATATTTAAGTAGGTGCCAAAGTGTGTTTAAAAGAGTACCTGTGCTAAATTTACAGCAGTTTCAAAAAAGGTAAAATGCATCAATTCTAGATGAACTAAATTTGTAGGTACTATATGCGAATTACTACAGCTATGTTTAGTTTCAGGATGAGTGCTTTCAAATTTGCTTCTCACTTTTATGTGCTCGGGGAAAGCAGGGTTTGACAGTAAGGAGTGGAGAAAGAGGCAAAGTTAGGGAGAGGCAGAGTGGCTACCTGATTTCCCCCCCCGATTTATTTTCCCTGCTGTTTCAGTGGGTGTAGGAAAAATTCAGGGCAAACCTCTGATAATTAGATTTTATACCAGGGAGTTTCGGCGGATGGGTGGGGAGAAGCAGCAGCGGTAGCGAGTGGTGGGGAGGGCATGAGGGCCCGCACCCAGAGTGGGGTGGCAGGAGCATGGGGCCCACAACGGGGCCAGGGTCAGTAGGGGCCAGTGCCTAGAGCAGGGTGGCAGAAACACCAGTGCCCAGGCTGGCAAGTGGGGCTGGAGAAGCTGGTAGGCATGCAAGGGAGGTGGGGAGAGGCAGCAGCAGTGAGAAGTGGCGAGTGAAGGCGTGGGCATGAGCGCGGGACCTGGGGCCAGGACTGGCGAGAACCCAGAGCAGGGCAAGGCAGTAGGAGCACAGGCCCAGGCTGGCACGTGGGGCTGGAGTGCTGGCAGGCGGGCGGGGGAGTGGAGAGAGGTGGTGGTGGGATGGGCAATTAATTTCTGTTTACGTTCACTTCTATGGGGAAATGGGTTTTGCTTCTTAATGCTCAGTTTTTCTGGAACCAATTAAGAGCACTAAGCGGGGGGTTGGCTGTAATTAAAGACTACATAAAAGCCTACAGACCAAGATAGTGTGCAACTTCTCAACTTTAATGTTCTTTTAGCATTGTAGCATGTATAATTTTGCAGTCTGATCTGTCAATGAGTCAAGTGTGTTAGGGTCTAAAGGAGTTCCAACCAGTGTGGTAGCGTTCATTTAAATGGGTTAAGTAGTATGACAAGTAATTTTTCATCTTTATTTTAACCTTTTAACAGTTTACTGGTTCCAAGCAAACATGTTAAGCTTTTTTCACAGAGACACCCACAGCAGACTGGCTTATCCACACAGTATAGAGCTAAATCTTTTGAATCTTTACAAAAGGTGGTATCAAAGCAATGAAAAAGAGGGACAATATGGACTCTTATACACGTGCAGGAAACCTTCTTCAATGCACTGTAATTCCAGCATGTCAGAGCAGATTCAATTCATTGAGTCTGCTGGAGCATAGAAATTAATGTGCTCCAGCAGCATCCAGCATCATGTGTGTCAGCGCTGAAAAATGGCAGTGGGGTGCTTTAAACTAAAGCTCATTCAAGTTTTAGTTCAAAGCTCCCCACTGCCATTTTTCAGCATGGGGATGCTGATGCACGTGACGTTCCAGGCGCTTTTAATTAGCATGGCTCTTGGAGCTGCACTAATTAAAGCGCTCCCCCGTGCCTCCCAGAGCACATGTATAAACTCTGCATGATTGCAAGTGATAATGGAAAAACTTGTAAGTAGTAGGATATTTGGCAAAGAAGGAAAATTTTGAGTCAGAAATTACAGGAAGATTACAGGTAGTAAGCCTGATTCAGTCTATGCTCTACCTGATGCAGCTAACAGTAATACACAGTGTTTTCTCCACTTTGGAAGGAGATAGCTGCCCAGCAAAGCTTCAAATATATATAGGACTAGCTAAGAAAAGGACATGAACTTTGTGGCCCACTTCCACCAGTTCAATTTTTTACCTCCCCGGAAAGCATCCTTTGGTTGATCACAGAGAACTGACTATTAAGAGATGTCATCCAATGGGTATCACTGGACAGGAAAAGTGGTACCACCACCATATGTTTTCCCCCATGGTTGAATTTCATGCAGGAAGTGTTAGCTATTGCATAGGGAGGAGAATGCAGTTTGTACTATCTGTGTGGGTTATTTAAGTCTCTCAGAAATAAACAAATTAATTACATGAATGAATTTGCTCATTAGTCTTTATTTTAACAGCGTGTTTTCTTTGACCAAAGAGAATTCAAACGTTACTGTTATTCATACAGAGACTACAGGAGGAAGAACTCCAAAGAAATGCTGAGTACGACAGGCAACGTGTACAAGCTGCCAGAGCACAACTTCTTTTTGAGCGGCAACAGCAGCGACTGAATCGAGAACATCGCAGAGCTCTGGATAACGCCAATGCACAGCTGTCCCAAGAGCAACAATCAAGGTGAGTGCACAAAGCGGGTTTTGTTCTGGGCTCCTCCAGTCACGCAGGTAAAGGTGTGATGGTATCTGATGCGCGATTCATACAGTTGCACTTCTTGCCATGCCACATGTATGCAGGAGGCATGATTGTGGGATCCCACAGCTGTCATCATGCCTTATTTCTGGTTCATAGAGCCCAGTATCATGATCCCAGGCTCCTCTTGCACTGACAAGTAGCAGGCTCCCATGGCTGGGATCCTCCTCATCTGATGGGGCTCACCATGTACTCCCACTGCTGGGAGCCCCATCAGCCAATCTAGGCTTCCAGCCATGGCCACATGTTCAATTAATGGCATCATAGGAACCAGCCATAAAGTTATTTCAGATTTTTTGTGGAATAACTTTGTGGTTTATTCCTTGGTTTATGATGCCATTAATTGCTTTAACACATAAACAGGTTACAATTTAAGCTGTGATTAATTGGTTAATTCTGCTTTAAGTGTAATGTGTAGCAGGTGCCTCTGTACTGCAACTCTTTCCCATTGACACAACAGCTCAACTAATATAGTCTGCTCTACTTAATCTGTGTCACTGGTTTAAGAAATCACAACAGTTTAGACCAAGTGTCTGGATTTTGCAGTAGCAAACCAAAGAGAATTTTTTAAATAGTAGTGGGATATGCTTATTCTTAAATCACACACTTTGTACAGTGGCTCAAATATCAGTGGTATTCTGCCTGGGAGCAAAATGGGAAGCATTATGTTCAGTGTTACAAACAGCAGTATCAGGATAAAAAAAGTGGGCAACAGAAGGTTGAAAAGGATCATAAATACAATAAAATGTGTGGTAATAAGAATACTTGTCCATCTGATAAGTTCAGTCTCCTGGAATTAGAAAGGATCAGAATTTTTTTTAAGTGAAACTGCCAGTTTATAAATCAGGATAAGGCCCAATGGCTTTAGTAGACCTCTATGAGCACATGCTTTAATGCTGCGTAATTACTGAGCATTTAGTTTAGTACCTGTAATAACAGGTACTAACTAAATGCACAGTAACTGGCGCTGTAGCACAGTAGCACTGGCACATGCCTTTTAAGTGACGCTAATGTGTAGTAAATGAATTCTACTGCGTATTAGTGCAATAGCATGGCTTTTGCCATAACACACTAATGCACAGTAGAATTAGTCTACTGTGCATTTAGCGTCTTGTGTAGACGTAGAGATAGTTAGCCTATTATTTTGAAGTCAGGCAGAAGGCAGGGTAGATTTGCACCTTAGAGACTAAATCACTTATACAGCCTAAGCTTTTGTGATTTAATTACAAATCTACCCCACCTTTAATAGACCTCTGCCAAAAAGATCTAACTAGTGTTTCAATAATCAAGGGAAAGGTCTGCAGATGGTCTGCCCTGAAGATGAAGAAAAAAAAAAAAAAAGGCCCTAAAAAAGAGCTTGTTTAAAAGAAAATCAGAATAAGCCAATGTGGCTACCAATCTTCAACTCTTGATTTCTTCCAGTACATGTTTTGGTTTTGTTTGACATAGTTTCCTAGTTTAAAATTAACATTCTAGAATTTTGAGGCTCAGGTAATGCTGATTTCTCCACACTGGCATTACAAGATTTGCAAACATTTTTAGAAAAATAAGAATTATTATGTAATCTTGAGACAATTCATATGCATTGGAGACCATTTTTAATACGGCTATTTTTTTTATTCTTAATACTACTAAATTTAACACACAAAGGTGTTCAATATATCTATACGATATTCTACTTCAGGTTATTTCTATGATATCAAACATTTGGAAAGTTAAAAATATATATACTAACTGAATCTATTTGATTTATTACTAGGAGAATTTATCTTCAGGAAGAAGTATATTCAAATTTTCCAACAGGACAGTATTTCACACAGTTTAATACAACAAGCCGATGACATTTGAGAGACACACACTCCCTGAAATACTGGTATATCTAAGCTTTATAGAAATAATAAATTTTCATTAACTTACCATGCTGTTGCTTTTTTATTGTATTTTCAAACTTTCCAATAAAAATGTTTCTGCATTAAAATGAATCCATTTTTCTGATAATAGCTTATTTGAAATCAAAGGCCCCATGATTGGCATTTTTATATGTAATGAAAGAGAAGTACAGAGATTACTGCAGTTATTTTTTATAATCATTTTGTAGGGAAAAAAAAATAAGTACAGATAACTCTGACCTGGTGATTTAAGTGCTAATCTGGAGTAGATTTTAGGTCAAATTTATTCCTAGTATGTGCCCATTCAGATCAATCAATTTTTTATGCAACTCCCTCCCAGTGAAGAATATGACCCTTAGTAGATTGATTAGATATTATTTAGAGGATTTTTTAAATTGAATTTCAGCTCCTTTGACTACTCACTCTTTCTTCAGTATAGTATACATGTTTGCTAATCTCTTCCTTTTAAAGGTTACAGAAACACAGAAGGAGTGCAGCATGACTGTCAACTTGAAGCACACCAAAATCTGATTTTCATTTATACTTTAAGAGAGTGGTGCTCTACTGCCAGTCTGTAGGCTAGATCCAGCCTGTGCAGCCGTGGCATTGAGTTTCCTATGGGTCTGGAAATTTAGCAGCAGGGGAGCAGTGGCAATTAACACTGCTACTGCTCCCCCACTACCAAATCGCCATGCCCCACAAGCCATGTGATATTGCCCTTTGCACAGGATGGGGTCATAGGCACGATCTGGCACAGGGCCCCATATGTTGGATCAGGCCTGTGAACTGACCCCACATCTCTTGTCCAGGGGGCACCATTGCTCTAAGAGGCCATACTCTGCTTTAAAATATAGGAGAATGAATAGGATGAATATTTGATTTTGATTTAAACAAAGAAAATGGAATAGTCCTACAAATTTATGCATTTTATGTAGAGATAAATATTTGAAACATATGTATATGTGAAAGAATATAAAGCATTGTCATAGTATTTTGAACTGCTTTCAGTTGTTGAAAAGTGAAAGTTTGGGGAAAAATACAATTAAAATTACTTGATATGCTGTGGTAGCAATTCTGCATGCCAGTCCAACAATGTGTTTGACCCTAGATTAGAACTGCTTGATTTCAGAGCAGTTGGGGATTGCACACCACACAGGTCGCAGGCACTAGGCTACACACTGCACCAGCTGCATGTCTTTGGGGCTGCATTGGCTTCTGTGGACTGCTGCCACCTTCAGCTTCTCCCCCGTGTGAGCAGCGTGATTCCTCCACCACTACTACTACTTGCGCACTCCTGCTGTCGGCACCCCACAAGCAGTGGGAGCCTCCTCCATCCTTCCCCCCTGCCCCAGTTGGGCAAGCCCCCTCACTGCCACCACCAGATGGGCAATTCCTCTTCCCCTCCTTTCCCCTCTCCTCTGCTGCCAGGCAAGCAGGCCAAGCCGCCTTCTTCCGCCACCTGTTGTGCAAGCCCCCCATCACCATCACTGTGTGAGTCATTGCAGCTGGAGCAATGGGGGCAGCAGCAGCCGGGCGGAAGATTGAGGCCTGCCTGAGAACTTGGGGGTCAAAAATGGCCCATGGGTTGCTAGTTGGACAGCCCTGACCTCAATGACAATCTCTGAGGTCTTGTCTACACTAGAAGGGGAACAGTGGGTGTGTCTACACTATACTCTAAATGCACAGTACACTAATTCTACTGCTCATTAGCATCACAAAGTGTGAGCTGGTGCTACTGTGCAATAGCTCCTGCTGCAGTGCATTAAGATAGTACCCACTATTACAGGTGCTAAACTTAATGTGCCATAATTACAACACATTAAGGAATGTTATGACATGCCCATTGTTGGTCAGAGCTATTTTTAAATACAGCTTTCTCAGAAACACTAATAAAGTGTCGCAGTGGATAATATAGCCAAGGTGTAACAATGTTATAAATTAATTTAGAACCGAATTTGATCCAGAAAAAAAGATCTTATTCAAAATTGTTTGGGAACTGTGGGCACACCCACATAAGTATTTGACTGTACAGTTGTTACTGCACAGCCATTTAGTATTTGCAGTCCCAGTGCCTCATGGGTTGTTTCCAACCTTAGTGTGTAGTACTGACGGCATCAAGGTTCGGGCCTGTTGATGCTATGTCTGTCATTATGGTGACATAACACTTCATGTAGACTTGCCCTGTATGTTGTAAGGAGACCAGAGAACTTTTAGCTATGAGTGTGATTACAGTTGGTGGACTATGAATCTAAATACAGGGACAAAGCTTACCAAGGCCTAGAAAACAAGCTGCAACTAGGAAAATCAGTGAACAAAGAGCAGTAAATGGATAGAATTTAATGGGAAAGGTCCTCTTTAAGGTTAAGGACAAGAAAATGATAATTGCTACTTGGGCAGCAGTTGAGGTGATCCAATAAATTGCAGAGATGACTAACATGCAGAAGCTGCAAGATGTTATGTTATCCTGAATACCTGATGGAAGACGCATATATGCAAGATTTGTCACCTGATAGGGTTTATAGAGATCTGAAGATTAATTGTGAAGCTGGAGATGATAGTGAAGTCCAGGTTGATTTCAGGACTTGACAGATGAGGTGGAATAGACACCTCAAGAATTGCAGCAGCCTATGACACAAGAGGTCCAGGAAGGCTTTCAGGTTGGTGAAGAAAGGTAACCAAGGAAGCACTTGATTTTGGAGCAAGAACAAGGAAGTGGAATGGTTTATGAAAAGGAAATGGAATTGAGGACCCAGTTTATCCCCTTAAAGAAAAACAGCTAGATATAAGGAATAAGGTAACAAGACAAAAAGAGGAGGAGCAGCTAGCTTCACAAGGAAAGAGGAATAAATGAGGGAAAGAACTCAGAGCCAGGCATTAAGGGGAAACAAGGATGATTCTGAGAGAGAACAGATAGTAAGGTGGTCTGCAGGCATCAACACTAGGAGGTATCTCCATTTGTCAAGATCAGTCATCGGAGCAGACATAGAGAATAGAGTGTGTTTTCTGTCATGGAAATGGGCATCAGGAATGAGAAATGGACAAAGAGAAATGGGTATGAGGCTAAAAAAGGATCCTGATGAGTGAGCTGAGAATTCACTGACTATCTTTCACATCAGGACATGTGATAGATTCTTGCTAGACTGAACTGAGGATATAACTCCTTCAATCTTAGGAAGACATGTAATAATAACGGTGGTTCAAATAATCATTAGTGAAATCCCTAGAGAAGTATGGCAAAGGCATGACAAAAGTTATGAAGGTCAAAGGAAGACTGAAGGACTGGTGTTATAAGGAAGGTCTGGGGATGTTTGACTTCTGAAGGGCATTTACAGAAAGAATAATTTTCTGTACAGTTGCAGACCTGGGATACTAGCCTTCTAGATCAGGGCAGATACAAATTTAAAAAATGATGGTAAAAGACTGAGAGAAACTATACCTAGTTTTAGTATGAATGTAATATGAATGTAGATCAGACATTGTACCATTCAAAGAAGCTGCAGCACCCTGGTTGAGAACCACTGTGGTATTCCACCTGATGTCAGCCAGCTTGAAATCAGCCTTATCCTGAGAAAAAAACAATGAGAGAGCATGCAGAACAGATTTATTACACGAACAAATTAAAATGTAAGAAAAAAGATCTGGTACCTTTAGAAACAAAATATGAAAAAAACTGAAATTCCTTATTCTGCTGTAACACAAATAGCATCCTCATGCATTCTCTAGGTGTTCACAGGACACATCCACATCACATCTGTGGTATTTGGAAGAAAAATTATAGCTTGTTCTAGGGACCTTCAGCTTTCCACTGAGACTTGGAGCATCTTGTCCTTTGGTTGTCTGCTGTTCTGAAAGGCCTTGTCCTTCCCCCTTTCTCACTTTTCCGCCCCCCAGATTGTACTATACATCCCTCCATATCTCTTCCTTATTCTTTCAATTCAAATGAGACACAGCCATTCATCTCTGTATGAGATTTTCTTCCCTTTGATACCTTCCTTTTCAATGGCTCTACCAACTGGAATGCAACTAGCTATTGTTGTTTTAAATTTTCAGCTCCTTCCTGTCTATTAATGAGAAGGCCATAACTCTTCTGACGGAGAGTAGCCATTATCTAGAGAGCATCAGCTTTGTCACCTGATCTGGCTATAAAAAAGAGGTAGCTGAATTGACTCAGAAGGGTCAATAAATCTATTATTTATGCATGTGGAAAAAAACATTCTCCAAACTGAATCATAACATTTATGAGCAACTGTGACAACGTTCACAAAAACTAACAAGCTAGTCCCAAGAAGTCTCCAGTAAAACATACTGCTGAGATTTCCCAAGGTGCACTGCTTACAATGTAGACCAGAGATCCCAGAGCAAAAGAAAGTCATGGCAAGACAGAAAGGGTGTCTCCCAAGGGTCATAGGAAGGATCTTATAGCATCATTGAAAATTTTTGTTTGGAGGGGACCTGAGGAGGTCCAACCCCCTGCTCTGAGCAGGACCATCCCCAACTAGATCATTCCAGCCAAGGCTTTATTTAGCCAGGTCTTAAAAACCTACAAGTATGGAGATTCAACAACTTCTCTGGGCAACCTGTTCCAGTATTTTACTACCCTCCTAGTGAAAAAGTTATTCCTAATATCTAACCTAAACTTCCCTTACTGCAACTTGAGACTATTGCTTCTGTCATCTGCCACCACTGAGAGCAGTCCAGCTCCATCCTCTGTGGAGCCACCCTACAGGTAGTGGAAGGCTACTGTTAAATCCCTTCAGTCTTCTCTTCTCCAGACTAAATAAGCCCAGTTCTCTCAGCCTGTCTTTAGAAGCCCCCTAACTATTTTGGTTGCCCTCCCCTTCACTCTCGCCAATTTGTCTGCATCCTTTCTGTAGTGAGAGGCCCAAAACTAGGCACGGTACTCCAGATGTGGCTTCACTAGTGCCAAACAGTGAAGAATAATCACTCCCCTTGATTTACTGGTAGTGCTTCTACTAATGTAGCC